GTTCATTAAAGTTAGAGGGATTTCTGCACTTGGAAGTTGATGTACATGAAGGATGATAAACATTGTATTGTATTACATATATGAAATAAGAACAACAAAAGTGTTTGCTTTTCTCAGCTTTTGAACATTAATTTTAGATTTCATTGGGGTTGCTGCATACATTACATTATTTTCTACATGGAAAACATTTCCATGTTGCAAATAACACATGAACCATGTATGGATTCTTATGTGGGACAATGCAGTCTGTGCATTCCACACTAAGTGTGTATATGCATATCGAGAAACCATGGTTGGCTGCAGCTTCTCAGGGCATGCAAACCATATGTGAATGTGGGAAACATTAAACCTATGGGATCATTATGCATGGCAATTTATGTATATCTTGCACATTACTTCCTATATGAATGTTCTTTTATTCTAAGGCAGGTGACATGTGAAATACTCTTGTATGAAATCTATGGGCACATACACAAATGGAGCACAGGGTTGAATCATTTGCTGCTTCTAATGTCTTGTTGAGTTTTTCTCTAGAACCCACCAAATCAAGCTTCTCCTAAGTGGGAGGGCCATAAATGAGTGGTGGAGCTAGTCAAATTATCTGACGGATGACCTCCCCTGATTGTGATTCAATAGAAGATCATAGTGGGCTAGATGGCCCAATGGCACGGCTCAGTTTATAGAATGATATTTAAGTATCATGGTTCCTTGGGTGTTCTTTCCTAGAACTGAAATAGTCTTGATTATGTTGTGGCAAGGAAGTTTGCCTCAACTTATAGAGAGCTCATCTGGACACAGGCTGATTTGACCCAAGAGGTTAATGCTTTGCTGCTTCCTGTAATGCAATTGCAAAAGTTGCAAGGGCTAGAATGTACAATAGTATTCTCTCCCTCATGTACAAGTCAGGGCCACTTCAAACATTATGCTTTTCAAATTAAGATGATTTATATCTACATCTAACACAGGCATGTGTACTCTTTGGGAAACTCTTGTCTGGGAAATGTGATTGACTGCTGCTCTGTTAACTGCTTTTAGCCAGCAGATTGTATAAATCTTTTGCCTTTGACCCAGTGTGCAAGGCCACTCTGCCTAATGTGTGAACTAGCATCCTTGTGTGACACAGAGATTACAAGGGAAACTTGAGTGCTCTTGAGTGTCTTGTGTGAAAATACCCATATATATATGTTCTAATTAAATGCTGGAACCTGTGGGGTCAGGAGTGGGGTGTCATGGCTGGGAGATGGTCAATTGGACTTCAGGCTTTCCTAGAAAAAGCTACCACTGTCCAAGGAACAGCTCCCCCATTTTAAGAGACATGTTGCTCTCACCAGTGACTATCACACACATGTCTACTTGCTCAATAGCATCGTGTTTCTTTTTTCTTTTCTTTTGCAATATTGCAAACTACTAAAAGTATAATAGTACACAACTGTGAGATACAAAATTCTTGGGATCTTCAACCACAGTTTAGTAGGTCTTGGGAAAGTGACAACCATAATTAAATTAATAAGCAGAACAGGTCTGTCTTCCTCTGCTCTAATAGAGCAATTTTAACTTTTTATGTAAGTTCCAGTAAAATGACATTTAAAAGGCTTTCAATTAATTAAGCTTTCTGAAAAAATAAAGATGTCCCCTTTTATTAAGACACTTTTGGTTTGTAGATTATTGAAAAGAGGGAAGTATTTAAAAGCAAATATCCACCAAATGGCTTAGAGCTTTTGTTACAATCAAGTGGTATATATATATTGTTAAATAAATAAGCTGTTCTTATCATGTGGGAGATTTGCTGTCACATTCTGGAATATAGTATTAGGCTGTAACTGTTATAAACTCTGTGATTTTGAAGTCTTCAGTCACCCATGTGCATATCTGTGCAACTTTACACACTATTAAAAGATAATACACACTATTAACAGCAAAGCAAGTTAGGATTACCAATGTTAGTGAAATTGCACACCACCTGAAGAGTATATTATCATTTTGTGGGTGTATGAGCAAGGATTTTCATTTGGTTCTGTTGGTGCTACTTAATGCTTTGCATAATCATAATTTTATAATATACAACATACATCTATACTTTTATTTTTATTTGCTAATGACAAGGAAAATGCAACTATTTGCAGAGTCAAAATGGAACTTTGTATATTAACCTGGCATTACCGTTGTGAAAAACTGGACATTGGCTGGCCTGGCCCACATGGATCAGGTGAGGGAGGAACAGAAGATGCCTCTTGAAGAACATGTAACTCAATGAAGATTGATTTTGCTCCTCTGCCAAGGAAACACAGATTAAGACAACTTGGAGATGGTAGTGGTCAGTGGGGGATCCTTTTGTGTCTCTGTTGTTTCTATCTCATTGCAAAATGGTTGAAGAAAACGTCACAGTGGATATCTGGACTTCTTTTATTGACTTTGGATTAATAAAACAGAAGAAGAAGAAGAAGAGTTTGGATTTGATATCCCGCCTTTCGCTCCCCTTCAGGAGTCTCAAAGCGGCTAACAATCTCCTTTCCCTTCCTCCCCCACAACAAACACTCTGTGATGTGAGTGGGGCTGAGAGACTTCAAAGAAGTGTGACTAGCCCAAGGTCACCCAGCAGCTGCATGTGGAGGAGCGGAGACGCGAACCCGGTTCCCCAGATTACGAGACTACCGCTCTTAACCACTACACCACACTGGCTCTCAGAGAGACAGACAGGACTATGCACAGTAGAAAGGCCATAAAAACACCTTGACAAGAATTGGTCTCTCCTGCCCGGCAGTCAGAACATTAGTAAGAGCCAAAATGTGCTCAAAACAGAGGAGTCAGTATTCCTAAGAAGCTATGTCCCAGCAAACGAGGCGCCTCTTGATACAAAGAGCTCCTTCATAGTCACAGGCATGGCTTCAGTAGATGCTCTTCTAGACAAAGGAGCTGATGATGCTACTGGTAGGATCCTATTTTATTTAATGTACTTGACTGTCAATAAGTTTCATCTGATCTATTTTTGGATTTAACAGAACCCAGGAGAAAAGTCCAGTCCCTTTTGCTTGCAAGTGCTCTCCACGCTGTAGTTGCTTACACCAGAACCCTGTTATCGATGTGTTCAGTGAGGTCTTGTATGGGTTGCCCCCTTCATTTCAAATGGGGACAAGCAGATTTCCGCGTGCCCATGTGCGCGCGCACACACACGCACACAAGATCTGCTACCTCTGTTTACATGTATGGGATAGGAAGGGTTTTGTGGGTACATGGGCTTCCAATTTGATCTGATTTACCAGGTTGATGAACTCATTCCCCACCCCCTCCATGTCTGCTGGATTGTAACTTTTCTACAACTTGCAGAGGATACATAGAAGGCATAAGGATTTTGATGTGTGAACAAAATTGAGCCTAGAGGTCTTCAATTGATTTACCATTATTGATCCATGGGTATCTGTGGTTAGATGTCTCTTTATTGGGCATATTTGCAAAATGACATAGCCTCATAGAACACAACACTTTCCCGTTATGCCAGAATGGAACATTTCTTTTGAATTCAATGGCTAATTTTTGTTTCACAATTACTGTTAATCATTTGGGCAATGCTGGTTGAAGGAAAGGAGGGAAGGGCAAAACTTTCAACCATATTAGTGTTCTTGAAAGTGTCTTTCCATTTTTTTCTCTACTCTTTAGCCCAACACCAGAGAGAGAACCTGTAGTTACTTCATACCCCAAACCAGGGTTGGCTGTCTCATGAAACAATCTGAGGCCTGGCCAGCCATGTGAAATTATAATCAGTAATAAGAAAGTGTGTGTGTGTGTGTGAGAGAGAGAGAGAGAGAGAGAGAGAGAGAGAGATTGCACTCTTGGAGTTCCATGTATAGAGTTCTGGGTGTATCCTGACACATGTACTGTGTGAAGTTCTCACAGTTAGTTGATGCCCAGTCTTTTTATTATACAGCCTTACTGCCCATGAAAGGGATTGGTTGCACTGCAGAATGTACTTATGTCCTACATGGGCCACCATCTTCAGATCGGAGTGACCTGCGAGTGTTGGACTACCATATTGGCCTTTCTGCAGCTCCATGAGCTTTTCCTTAGAATCAGGACAGACGTGACACCCAGACATGGCTGCTTCCTGCCAGAATGCATCTGGGAACTGTTTGCTTGGGCAGATCCAGATCATGGGAGTGGTTAAAGAACAATAGGGTGGTCTGTGTAGCTCAGTAGAGACTCTGCTTTGCTTGCAGAATGTCTCTTGTTCAATCCCTAGTAACTCTATTTTGGGGAAAATATGCCCTGCCTGAAACCTTGGAGAACTACCGCAAGTCAGTGTCGATCCAGTATCTTTAAGCCTTTCTGACCTGGGACCCACCTTTAACTCAAATATGCATTTGGGGATCCAAATTCTCCATTTTTAGCATACATTTCTATGGTGGCTGAATACCAGTAGTGCAGGCAATACTGAGTGAGATGCACCAGTGGTATAAGGAACTTCCAATGTTTCTAATTAGCAATAACGTAATCCTGTTCATGTGATAGTCCCTCCTTTCTTCCCTGCCAAAAAAGGGGACAATGGGAATGACTTTCAGATTGTCTGCCAGTCGGAGGGAAGAAACCACAATTTAGCACATGCTAGCTTCATCTTTGCTTCTTTTGATTTGGCATTCACTCTATTATGGAGATTCACTACTATGCAGATATCAGGCTGATAGGTTAAAATCAGATTCCTGAAGTTGAGAAAAAGAAAAGAGCAAATGAAAAAGAGCTAGGGCAAGTGTGCACAGATTGTGGCACATCAACCTTAACAGCTGGCCCAACAATGTGTGGTGGCCTGAATTGTAGAGTTGGAAAGGAGAACAAGGATCATCTAAGTCAGGTTTCCGCAAACTTGGCCCTCCAGATGTTTTTTTTGCCTACAACTCCCATGATCCCTAGCTAACAGGACCAGTGGTCAGGGATGATGGGAATTGTAGTCTCAAAACAGCCTGATTTAAGTCCATACCTCCAGCAATGCAGGAATATTGGCTCAAACCCGCAACCCTCATTGCCAACATGAGGCTCAAACCCGCAACCCTGAGATTAAGTGTCTCATGCTCTACTGACTGAGCTATCTCAGTCGAGGGCTAAGAAGTCTTTGCCAACAGCCTGGAATTGCAGAATTGAGGGAGGAGTCTCACTTTCAGGCTGTGGAGGGAAAGTGGGCTCTAGTATGGCCTGTGAAGATGTGTTCACCCTGGCGGGTCATGTGTTATACGCATATTTAGGAGTGTTAACCCCTGTACCTGCATGTTAGAAGTCTGTCAGTGCACTCCTATGCAGGCCTACTTGGAAGTAAGTCTCACTGCATTCTGTGACTTTTGCTCCCAGGTAAGTCTGTATAGGACTGCAGGTTCCAGAAAACAGGAATGATGTCAGATATGCTTAAACACTGTTCATATTCTCCTCTGAATATTAATATCCTTATGCCTTCATTGTTATTCATGCAAAGTAAGCAAAACCTCAAGAACAAAGGAATGGAGCAAATGTACACCACATTCTATAGAATTATTATTATTATTATAAAAATATTTGAACTATTAGTGACTAGACCTGCACACCTTGCACACCCAAAATACCCTCGTTTGGGTGAACAGGGTTCAGTCATTTGACATTTTATTACAGTGAATGGACTTGCTGCTTTCAGTCATAATGCCCCCTTTTGCAATATCTTGTGTCTTTTTCCTGTTGCTCCCATTTGGCACAGGCTGGGGGTGGCACTGGGCTGCTGTAATCTGCTGTTGCTAAATACAAAAACAAACACTCATCCACAGTACACACAAGATTGGGGAAATCCCTCTTTTTATATAATATCCAGATTAATTTTTGTCACACTAGAATCCTTCCATAATGAGAACGCATGCTTTAAACCCATTCACAGAAAAGCTTTGACATACAGCAAAAAGGTTTATTCCAGGCTCAATCAGAAAAAAGAAAATATATTTATTTGAAATATGTTAATTTAATATAGGGTTGCTGGGGATTTTTTTTCAGTTTGCAGGGACCGAGCTCATTCTTTTTGGAGATTCTTGATATGAAGCACAAAGCAACCCAAAATAGGTTTGTCCCACTCTCAGTTCCCAGTTCCCTTGCACCTTTTGATTGAGACACAGCAGCCCAGTTACACAACGTTGATTTTTTAAACCTTCTCCTTAACTATTGTCAGTTGGAATGTCAATTGACCCAACTTTGTAGCCTATGACTCCATGTTCTTTTGAATGGGCATCACTTTAAGGTTCCCTTGTAAGTATATGGCTGATTAGCCTCTCTGTGCAAGCCCCCACCCCCCATCTTCACTTCCCTCAACCACCTTAACTAGGGTTTAGCATTGTATCTGCACCAGTACTAACCATGGGTAATTCAAACCAGGGTTGCTTCCTTCTTCTTTTGAGGACTTGGCTATGATTTTTTGGCTGTGATTTCTAAGGGCAGCATTAGATGCAGTGCTAAACGTAGTTAAGGCTGATAGAAGAATGGGAGAAATTCATGCCGCAAAGTGGAAGAAATTCTCAAGGCCTACCCTCAGTTTGCATGGCTTGCCTTTGGGTCTTTGTTTACAACAGAAACAGGCAAAGTGTACCCAAACTATAAGATCAGCAGGATCATGTAATACAGCAGGGCTGGGGCCTCTAGGGACTTCCAAATATTGCTGGACTACAGCTCTCACCTTCGATGACCATTGGCCATGCTGTTTGGGGCTGATGCAAGTTGGAAGTCCAACCCTGGGAGGACCACAGATTCTTCATCCCTGCAAGACAACTTTCCTGGATGGGACATTTTTCAGGAAGGAGATTGCATAATTGAATGTTCTCCTATCTAATATGCTTTTATCTCCTTTTCTTTTAACATGGGAGGGCATTTGAGTCTTCAATCTTCCATCTCCAACAGAAGGATAGTCTTAAGAGATGCACTATGTGATTCTGTTGACTGTGGAGCTTGGCTTTCAGTTTATTCTAATGAACTGTTTAAAGATGTAATAAGATGCCCATGATGGATAGCTCAGGCGATAGAGCATGAGATCCTTAATTTCAGAGTCATGGGTTTGAGCGCCATACTGGGCAAAAGATTTCTGCGTTGCAGGGGCCCCTGTGGTTCCTTCCAGCTCTATGATTCTAAGTATATGCAAGTCTACATTAATATCCTGATTTTAAAATTGAAGACAAGCCTCTTGATTTTCTGGGCTTGTAGAGTTGGACCTGGGTTTCTCTCTCTCTCTCTCTTTCTAAAATATGTGTGATATTTTGAATATCAGCACAATTAACTATTCCTCTCCATAGGTGTTTGTTGAAAGACGAATGCCAGGTGCAGAGTTGAAATGCTATTGAAAGGAAAAACCACAAGCTGCCACTTTCAACCACATTGTTCTTGATGGTCTATGAGTATAAACTGAATTCTGTTTCTAGTCTTATATATAATATGTCTTATTTTTAATGAGAAACAGATTTATTTATTATTTTTTGCTATTGTTGTTTTGCATTTTGGAATAAGTACATCCTTGTCATTACAGGTGCCTTTTGAACTGCTTCTGGAGATCCTCAACAAAAATGGAGGATTCAAGGAACACCTGGATCATCAGAAACACCATTTTACTTGTAGAGCACCAACTCCTAACACACGGACTCAGGATCTGAAGAGAAGCAAATGAACAGTGGATGGCAATGAGCATTTGTGTTTCAAACTTGCCTAACACCCAGTAGCATAAATGGTAAGAACATTGTGTATGTTTCCAAGGGGGTGGGTTGACGCTCTGAGAGGTTGAATTTTGTCTGCGGGTAGACAAAACCGAGAATAATAATTTTTTATTTATTTTTACAAGTTTCTATTCTACCTGTTTTTCCAAGAAAGACTCAAGGTGGCTAACAAATAGTAATAAAAACAGAACAATTGTAATCCTACTAACCCATGCATATGCTTTGAAATTGAATAAGTTATCAAACTTGTTTGACAAGCTTCGGTAGCACAAAAATGACAGAACTGAAGAGTTGAGGAATTCCAACAACCACCAGAAGCATTAGAATTATGAGGCCTGATGGACTTTTCTTGGCAAGGGTGGCCTGAGACATTTTTGCACCTGATATGAAATGCCCTTGATGGGGGCAGCATGAGGCACCACAAGGACTTCCTCTCAAGGCAAAACCCTTGTAAAGCATCACTGCTGGGTGGGTGGGCAAAGCTGGGTGGTGGAACACCTCCTCTCTTGCTGACTCTGCAAGAGGGGAGACATTCTGCAGAGCTTTGTTGCCAGCCTCTCTCCACCCCTAGGGATGGCAGGAGAGCAGCGGCAAAGCATAGCTTCTCCACTGGTGGTGGAAATGTTGGATGCCACCTCTTGCGTTTCTGCTGCCTGAGGTACCTGCTTCACACCTCCATATCTGTGGGTTGGGTGCGCTACTTGGCATGGCATCCCACAACAGAAAAGCCTTTGACAAGATTGGCAGATTTTCAGCATGGCCCCAGATGATGACTGGAACGTGCAGGGAGGTGCATACATAAAAAGGCAGATATAATTTATAAAGTGTGCCTGCTATTCAATTCTGAAACTCAAAGTCTTGTCCTCTATAAAAACCTCCCAAGGCACAAGTGGTTAAATGTAGCATAAGATGTGCATGAAATTAGGCTGCACTTCCTTATGTCTAACAGTTTCTTTGTTTCTGAACCGAAGGTTAGATGAAATTGTTGCCATCAAAGGGAGCCAACCATTCTTCCTTCCTTCCCCAGCTGTCACTTCATGATCTCTTTCTTTGATGCTCAATGCTTCCGAAATCCTTTAGCTCTTTACTATTATCCATTTCTCTTTCCAAATCCTTCACCTATTGGACAATATTAACCATGACATTTTGTTTATTTACTTGAAATATTCCATTCCCGCCTTTCTCCCAAGCTGGGATTCAAGGGGGCTCACAACATTTGAAAACAACATTATGAAATGCACAGTAATAAAACCAAGAATTAAAATATATCAGAACACCTTTAAGACCAGTAATTTTCCCTGACTGCAGCCGTGTAATTAGCATCCCCTGAACCTAAATTTTTGAAGACCTGTCTGAATAAGAAGGTCTTAGCCAGCCAGTGGAAGGATGACAGTAATACACATATGTTTGTTGGGCAGTTCTTTGGCTTTTATTAGATTTTGTTTGATGCGAGCATCATTTCTTCTAGTACCAATTCAAATCTTCCTGTGCTTACACCTGTTCAGCCAGAACTGTGCCAGGCACACAGAGGAGGATGGTTAATCCCATGGTATGCTCAAAACTAATAAAAAAATCCACAGTGGCGAAAAATAAGCCCTAAGTGGAGGAAACCCCCAAAGTGAATTAAATTGCTTAGTAGCATGGAATGTTGAGAGACTGGGGACAGGGGGACAGGTAGTTACTGCTCAGGTAAAATCCAAGGTAGATGTACTTCATTGTCCTTCAATTGCAGGATGGAAGGAAATGCTCCTGGAAAATAGTTGTTTTAGACAGCCCTACAGTAGCAGACTAAGTCAGGGGTGGGGAACCTGTGGTCTTTCTGATGTTTTTGGATTACAGCTCCCATCATCCCTGATCTTTGGCCATGCTAGCTGGACTGGAGCTAAGAGGAGTTAGGAGGCCAGCAACATCTGCAGAACCTCAAGTTTCTCCATTACTGCTATAGGCATTTTACAACCCTGCAGTGATTCCTAGAGGTATTATAGGTTTGGGGTGCAAGTGAAAGCAGAGAGGCTACCAACAATGCTGCCATGTTATCCATTGCTCTCATCTGCTACATTTCAGGTTGGGCTAAAAGAGGACAGCTTATAGTAGTCCTCACAATGTAGTCAACTGTGAATATTTCAAACAAGAGGACTACTTAAACTTTTTTTGCAGACCTTTTCTGAGGCCCAATCACTGAAACTAGTTCAGATGAGTTTCACTCTTTTAAAATGTTCAAAAATATTTTTGGAAGGGTGGGGTATAAATTTGATTGATTAATTAATTGAATAAACTTTTTTAAAAAAATTTTTTTGCAAGACTCAAGTTGGAGCAGGGAATCCAGTGTCCCTCTCTCTTCCCAACTGCCCTTGCTGTCAGCTACAGGCCCAAATAATGTGCACACACACCAGGGATATAGTGCAGTGTCTTGTTGCAATGCCCCAACTGTACATTGTGTATTGCTAAAATGCAATTTTCCACTTGTAAAAAACCCAATAAATTTTCTTTTTGGCAGGGTTGCTCAGCCTCCCCCTTAATGGTTTCAATTCAGTGTTGGTACTGAATGACATATCAAATTTAATATTTTACTCCCAAGTGCTTTACACTAAATCCTCTGTGTTATTTCACACACAAGCACACAAGCTAGTGATATATTTTTCTGATTTTTTAAAAAAGCAGCCTCTTGTTCCTATGTATGCATTTGTCATTAACATTCTGTCCTTTTGCATGAAGTCTGTAAAAGAAGTGTGTATAGGATTTCAACCTTTGGGTGGTTTTCAACTAAGTACTCCCATTGAAATGAATGAACATGATGCACTGGCCTCAATCCTATGCTCGCTTAGCTGGGAAAAAACCCTATTGAACTCACTGGGACTTCCTTCTGAGTAGATATAATTAGGCTTGTGTTTTTGGTCACTTGAGCCACATGGAAATGAAGACCTTCCTCTTTAAAGTTTCTGGAGACCTTTCAAAGTCTCCTGGAGGAGGATGTTAGCAAAACAGCTTTGGGGAATGTATCACTGGTGGGCTCAACACATGCTATCTGATATATTAATTCTCCAAGTACAACAGAGGCCTCCCTCTGAGTGTCTCTGCCTTATAGAGTAGCTATAGATGCATCAGCAGAAAGAGAAGAAATGTATCTCCACAAAAGTGGATGAAAAAAGACAGAATTGCATAAAATGTGCATACGCTAAAATAATAATATACATCGGAATGCAATAAATTTCACAATCATGGGCTGCAACCGTATAACCTATGTGCTTGCTGCTCAGAGGACTGATGGTCAGTTTCAAGGTTATTCATCTTTAAACTAGACAGTAGAGGACTCTCTGAAGGCAGTAAAGTGTCCTTATGTCCCAAATAGAGAACAGTTCTATATTTGAAGAGCCAGTAGAAGATGGTCCTTTATTTGAAGAGCTATCAAAGGACTGTTGTCTGTAAAGTAGGACACATGACCACCCTAACCACCTTCAGGGTGGCTTCCAGAGACAGGGTCTTTTTCCTGGTGGCACCAGCTATAGAGCTTCCTCCCTGGGCAGTTGTTTCCTTTGGTGCTGTCTTTGAGGCCCCAGACAAAATCAGTCCTGTTACATTCTATCTTTGTAAATACATTTAAACAGTATGGGGTGCCCTTTTCATGAGCTTTCTGCTGTTCAACTGTCATTTAATTGGGATCTATATGTGCTGATTCCATCATTTTTATTAGATGCCTTCTATCCTATGGTTTTTATCTTTGTATTTTTGTTAGGGTTTGTTTAAGCTTCATTGTAAGTCACATCGAGGCCATTTGGCAATAAAGTGAGACATGCATTTGGATTTGTGGAGGGACATTTTAATGCCTACTTTGTGATGCTTCCCTCTATGAATGTAAACATTTGTAAACATGTTTATTTTTTAATGTTAACATGTTAACCTTTTAAAAAAACTTTTGAGAGTTACACTTTGCACAAGTGAGTACAATCAACAAAGTCTAGTTGTCATTTGAGTCTGTTGCAATCAATAGCCCTTAGTAGGAATGATGTTTCACTCCCTTGCTTTCAATAGCAGTTAGTCACAATTAGCCTGAAGTGAATCATGCCCTTGATCTCTTTCCTACTTTTTATCCGGATTTATGTTACCCTTTCTGCTTTTCTTTTCCATGTTTTGTTGTTTAGGGAAGTTTTTAATGTTTGATGTTTTCACGTGTTTTTAATATTCTGTTGGAAGCCGTCCAGAGTGGCTGGGGAGACCCAGCCAGATGGGCAGGGTATAAGTAATAAATTATTTCATTCATTCATTCATTCATTCATTCATTCATTCATTCATTTTATCAGTCCCAGTTTTTGTAGCCCCACTATGCCATATGCTAGTAAGTGGTCTTTAAGCCTTGTAGAAGAACAGCAATCTCTTTGTTTACTATTTCCTAACCTACTAAATGACTCAGGGGGCAAGGGTGAGACACATTTTATTTTGTATTTGGGTCGTGAACAGATTCAAGGTGGGAACTTGCTCAGAGTAGCTTGTGGCTGCCTCTGTTCTGCTAGCAACAGTTCAAACAGAGTGCTCACCACCAGTGGGTGACATGGTGGGGTGACAACACTTACCTGACCTTCTGGCAGATGAGTGATGGCCATTTATCAAGAGGGCGATGACAAGGTGGCGGGGAGATCAGTGCAGTGCAATCATATTGGCAGGAGTGCCAGCTTGACTCCACCACTGTGTTTGCACCATACCAGCCCGCTTGCTGCCTCTCCCCTCGCACTATGTAGCAGTGATTCAGCTGTCGGGAGGTCAGGTAAGCCCTGCCACCCTATCCTACCATCTGGTACTGGTGCCCACCTAGTTGAGTAACACACTTTTTGAATTCTTCACCATTCAGTTCAAAATATTTGTATCCCTCACACCATTGTAAACTTTTATTTTTTAAAAATGTTGCAGTTCATACGACCTTCTCATTAAAGAAATGTTGTGTATATTTCCAGGCCCTGAATGACATTAGAATCAATAAGGGGTTTCAAAATTTGATTAGCATAGTAAAGTTCCTTTAACTCTCTTATCTCTCAGTTGGTGGCGGTGGTTTTTCCCATTCCAAACACTTAACTTGTTTTCAAATGCTTAAAATCATTTTTAACAACTCAGAGTCCAAAAGTTTATCATGGGCATAAAATTTTGTTTGAAGCGCTTCTGTATATGTATGAAATGTATTACAGATGCAACTGATGCAACATCAGACATTAAAGACAATCTTTTCAAAGGTAGAAATCATTGTGACATGACTCTTTCTCTTTGACCCGTCCTCGTTTAACTAGAAGCAAAGTTACTTGGAAATGGATTTTCCCATTCTAGCTGTGCTCATAGTGTCTTGAATTGTGTGTCTCTCATGAGGTAATTGCTCTGCATGTGCAGTTTGTTATGATAAATCTCTAAGTCAAGAAGACACTTAATGATGAGCTCATAAACATTGGCCAAAGGGCCTGTGATGAGCCCAGCTTGGGGCAGCTTGTTCTTTTGTAGTCTTCTGTCAAGGGACAAGGGGATTTTACCACACATCAGGTGCAGCTATGTGCTAAAATGTACATCTGTATCCGTCTCCTGTCTCCACAGTCACTGCGGCCCATTTTACATAATGTATTTGTGGTGTAGGTATTTTACCTTGGTAAACAGATTGTGTGAGAACTTTCCATGTTGCTATCAGTGGTCCTGATGGGATCGGCACGAGAGTGCGTATGTGATGAAGGAAATCCATGGATATAGTTCCACATTATGGAAAAGATATGTGTAGATGTAGTTTATTAATGCTTGGGCCATCGGCTATTCACATATAAGACAAATAAGTAAAGTACAAAACCCAACAGGATAAAATACTGCAAAAAAATCAAATTGCTAGGAGTGGCCACAGTTGTTTTTTGTGGCAACGAAGGATACGTAAACTTTCATCCCAAGACCATGCTCGGTCCTGTCAAAAGTTGAAGATAACGGAATAAAGAAGGGCAATCTAAGTTTACCACATTCTTTAAGGCTTGGAGATTGCAAAAGTTTATGAAGGACAGTTGTGGTCCGCATTGTTCAACATGGCAGCCAAACCAACCAACTCAAAAGATCATGCCGGTGACACAGGTGCTCAGTCATATTGCAATGACTGGAAAAGGAAGCAGCGTGGGAATGTACAATAAAGGGGATGGGGAATTTGAGGCAAGTGCTCCCGTCTTCCCTATCTGCCTTTGGGGCTTGCTTGAGGTAGATTGATCTATGCACTTTGAGAACTACAGTGGTACCTCGAGTTACAAACACCTCAGGTTACAAACGCTTCAGGTTACAATCTCCACTAACCTGGAAGAGTTACCTCAAGTTGAGAACTTTGCCCCAGGATGAGAATGGAAATCATGTGCTGGCGGCGCAGCAGCAGCAAGAGGCCCCATTAGCAAAAGCACGTCTCTAGTTAAGAACAGTTTCAGGTTAAGAATGGACCTCCGGAATGAATTAAGTTCGTTACTAGAGGTACCATTGTATTCTGTCTGGAGTACATGGTTATATGGTAAGCCATGCTTTAATTCTGATTTTTTTGGGTACAGTATTATAGTTAATTTATTCATACACTCTTAGAATGAGGAGATGCATTTAATACGTTAATGAGCTGTTAGAAACTTTTGGATAAATCCTATTGCTCCTATGCTGTATGAAAAATGAAGGGTGTGATTGAAGCTTCAGAGTTTATCATTATCACTGCACAATGGAATTTGGGAACACAAAATTCATCTAATTCTTACAAATGGCAAATCATTGTCTGTATGTCTTCTCTGCTGTTGCTGTTGCTGCTGCTACTAAATAATAGTAGTAGTAGTAGTAGTAATAATAATAATAATAATAATAATAATAATAATAATAAGCCTGTACTATGTGCTTTAGTATGTGAAGCATGCTGAACATTCGTTAGATTGGCATAATCCTTACAGCAGCCCAATGTGTCAGTATAATTTTCACTATATTATAAATGAGAAGCAGAATAGCTTAAGGCCCCCTTGTGGGTTCACAGCAGAGTTGAAATATGAATGGGGGGTTCCCCAAATCATAGCTGAGTCTCTTAACTAAGGAACCATGTACCACTGAAAAATAACAGAAAGATTTCTATGAATAAGATAATAAAAGGGAGCCTGTGGGTTGGATCTGAAGGTTTTCTTCCTCTATTAGAAGAGGTTTTCTTCAATGGAAAGAGTCTTCCATTGAGAGAAGGAGTCATCATGCTAAGAGAATGAGACCTTTTATCAGAGGGAAGACTCCTTCCACTTGAGGAATGGAAGGATGTATGCTATGAAGAGGCGTAGGAATGGTTGTATGGAATCTCCTCTGTTTCTGCAGAGTTAGTAGTTATTTTAATTTCAGAATGAATAACTGCCAAATAAATCAGCCATCCTCAGGACTTGGCACAGGTTTTTTTTTCTTGCTCACTGATGTTCAGTTTAGCTGATCAATACCATCCTTTTTGTTAGCAAGACATGTCAGCTGCATTCGAATGTTAGCTCTATTAGAGTAGGTATGGGAATTTTTTAGGTCCCCAGATCTTGCTGAACCAGAACTCCCATTTTCCCTGGCCATTGTCTGTGTTTGTGGAGGGACAAAGTTTCCTCACACCTGGGTTAGAGTGTCACGATACGAAATTCTGTGAAATGAGCAGGTATCTATCTATCAATCAATCAATCAATCAATCAATCCATCAATCCAATCAATCAATTAAATACCTTTATTGGCATCACAGTTTCAAGTAACTGGAATATTAAAAAGACAAGCGTGAAGCTATCAAGGGTTATATGGTCACAAATGAGCAGGTATTTATTTGTACAGTTTGTATAGGATCGCATGCCTGGGGGTTTTCCTCAGCACTGTGTTGCTGTTTTAATGATGTAATGATGAAATTGTCTGATTGAATATTCCCAGTTCTTGAAATCAGCTGAAGTCACTGATTCCTCATTATCATTGCCAATGGCAAGATTTCACTAGTTTATTGGTCCTTTTATTTTTATGGGCATTTTTGCAGGTAAAGTTGGCTGTGCCTGATATCAAGCATGTATCCAACCTGTTTCCTGACTGAATAACCAACCAAGAGGCATCTTGTCACAGGAGTAGCAGACACTAGGCTCAGTTATTCGCTAGCTCTGAATTGGACCACTGCAAATGAATAAGGTAGTCAATTCCTTAAGTCCGCTAGCCATTTCCAGGTAGATTTAATCCTGTGCTTCACAAATCCATTATAATTCTTTTAAGGAGAGGTAACAGAAGCTTGTGGGACGTGGGTGGCTCTGTGGGTTAAACCACAGAGCCTAGGACTTGCAGATCAGAAGGTCGGCGGTTCAGTCCCCGCGACGGGGTGAGCTCCCATTGCTTGGTCCCTGCTCCTGCCAACCTAGCAGTTCAAAAGCACGTCAAAGTGCAAGTAGATAAATAGGTACCACTCCGGCGGGAAGGTAAATGGCATTTCCATGCGCTGCTCTGTTTCTCCAGAGGTGGCTTAGTCATGCTCCCTCGGCCAATAAAGCGAGATGAGCGTTGCAACCCCAGAGTCGGCCACGACTGGACCTAATGGTCAGGGGTCCCTTTACCTTTACCTTTAACAGAAGTTTGGCGAGTGAGTTGGACACAATCTGTGTTCAGTGCTCCAGGATCTTCTGACAGCTTCAGCTAAGGTATATTTATTAAGACGTGTGCCAGAAAGATACAGAAATGAGACCTTGATTTTAAAAGGGGGGGGAAGCACAAAATTACTTGTTTAACAGAAAGCCTAAAGTAGCTGTTTCACCTTATACAGCAGGGTATTTTTGCAGGCTAAGCCTGGATTCCATGAGTGGGAGAGGACAGAGTCCCTTTGGGACAACAAAGGTGGATACAAGACATTTCCCAAATCATGTTCTGTGCCAGGAGGGAAGGGTTGGTGGGACAGTGGCTGGATTCAAGAGATGTTAAACCTTGCTTGGGATAACACTTGCATAGGGTAGGGATGGGGAACTTTTGGCCCTCCAGATGCTGCTGAACTAGAACTCCCATCATTCCTGGCTATGGGTCATGCCCTCCAGGGTTGTAATTCAGTAACATTTGGAGGGACAAGGTTTCTCACACCTGACATAGGAGACCAGCTATTAGCTCCTGCAAATTTTACTAATCCAGGCAAAACAAAAGGAAAGAATCAGAGTATCCATCTCTGGGCTTCTTGCTAGTCAAGAGACAATATCTCTGTATATTTGAAAGAGAGAAACACACACACAATGTCTGTGTGTCTGATCGCTTATGAAATTATGGCCGAGGGTGTTTCTACCAGTTTTGGTTAAGAAAAGCTGTTTTATTCTCCCCATACTGCATGAAAAAAATGGCAAAGCCATCAACATCTCTTACAGGTTTACCTGAATAGATCAGGCCCTGAATGAATAAACCAAAGCCAGATGTAAAGTATGAGTCTCAAAATCCCTTAATGCTGAGTATTTAACTAATAACATCTTTAAGGACTCTGTTGTACTCATAGAAGGATTAAAGAGTTAAGAAGGGAATAATGCATAATTATGGGTGAAACGAGTCTGTGTTTGATGATTGAGTGGGAAAATAGAGGCAGTTATTTTGGATTAAGTAACGTGCACAAATATGTACAGTTATGATAGAATCCTGTGAGTGGATTTTTTCTCACAGTATGTTTATTTGAGTGATGGAGTTGTGACACACATCATTAAACAATGCTGTTCAAGATGAAAAAGAGATTTCTTAAGAAAGAAGTCACATCATCAAACACATAGCTTTCAGCAGCTCCAGCATGGCCAGCTAGTTTTCTTCTCACCAGCTCTATAAATAACCCATTTGGAAATCAAATGTGCCATAAAAAACAAGACCTCCACAAAGCTCGGTCTTTATGTTGAAATGTTGTATCTGATTGAGTCCTTTGTGGTAGAGGTCACTCCCAGGAGAGTGCCTGCACCACTGCTGCTGTACTGCTATGCCAGCAAGGACTGTTGAAAGTAACTTTAAATATTGCAGATCACTTAAGTATTTGCTGCACTGAGATGGCAGCAAAGCAATTTTGCTCTTGAGAAAGAAAGCCAGGGGCCAAGGATGCAATACGGTGGCCTCCTGTCAGAGACAGTTTGGAAGCAGAGGAATGGTGGGAGGAATCAGCTGGGGAATCGCCAGGGAAAGAAGGCTCAGGACCAGGGGAGTGTTGGTGAGAAACAATGAGTGGTCAGAAAGAGAAGAGGGAGAAGACTGGAAAGAGGAGGTGTTGGAAGCTGAAGAGATAACAGGGCTTATTGTGCTGGAAGAGTTGGTGGCAGAGATTCCAGAATCAGATGCAGAAGCTGAAGCAGGAGAGTGGAAGGAGGGAGGCCAAGAGGCAGAGATGAGACATGCTGGTGAAGAGTCACAATGTCTCCCCCTCCTGCTGCAACAGGCTCCCCTTCCCCCCTGTCTCCCAGAACCAGAGAGTTTCCTTCCCTTGCTTGACTCAATTGATTGAGACAGATAGACTCCAACTATAGATTCAGTCTATACTCCCCACAGGGATGTCAGATACCAACTTTGCTGTCATTTCAGTGCCAAGTGACTATGTACTTGTTCACTTAGATACTTCAGATTTTCTGATGAGTGACTAGTTTTAGCTTCCCTTTGTTTCTTGATACTTTTAGAACAGGCATAGACAAACTCCTGCCCTCCAGATGTTTTGAGACTACAATTCTCATCATCCCACCCTGACCACTGGTCCTGTTAGCTAGGGATGATGGGAATTGTAGTTCCAAAACATCTGGAGGGCCGGAGTTTGCCTATGCCTGTTGTAGAAACTTGCTTTTTGTTTCATTAATGGTTATTATTACTGTTTCCATCCCACTGGTATCAGTATTGAGCAGCGTGGCTTCTTGTTTATGTTTTAAAGAAATTAAATAGATGTTAATTGCAAAGATCAAATAGCTTAATTCAGGCAGGAAATCCATTTTTTGTTTCAAGGTTGTGTTATGTGTGTCTCCTTTCAAAGTTTAATATATATTTTTATTTCTGTAATTGTATATTCCGTTGTGCATTCTGAATCACTTGACATCTTTATAGAGAAAACGTCTCCGGAGTATTTTCATTGGAATTATATCTGTTACACTCTTGGAATCCTACAATTCTATTAATCTGATACAGCAAAGTTGATCATTTTAGGAATGTAATGGTTAACAATAAGGCGTTTCAGATAATTGCTGTAAGCTACCCACTCATAATGTGATTACATTTCCAAATTGTTGGTACTGATGAATACAAAGATCACACTGGTAGTGATTTTGTAGCAGCACACCTCCAAGGAATTTTTTGTGTGCCAGTTCTAACTATGTCATCCTTTCTGTTATTGGCACCTAAACATATCTCTGCACAAAAATAATTAAATAAAATGTTTTAATAGTATTCTGTTTTCGAGTATGAGATTTTCATTAATCTGCTTCTTTAAAAATGAATGGCTCTGGCTGACTTTTAAGATTATCAAATCTGAATACTTTGACTGCAAGCAAAATTAGTCTTATAAGAGCTTTGCTTGAATCATAATAAATTAAGTCTACAAGGGAGGGAGTGGAAGTTCTGTAATATGCTTTCCTTAGCACATGTTTAGATTCTTCTCTCAATCCTGTTTTATCCTTTTCCCTTCTCCCACACCTACTGCCCTCACTTCAAGAATTTGTATACCCCAGTTACTTTGCTAAGTAGTACTGTGTTTTTACAATGCAGACATAATCTTTGTTAAGATGTTAAAAGAAGGCCACAGGCTCTATCTTCTTTTGTCTTCTCTTTTATTCTCTCTGAACAAACACCCTTATTGTCAGTTTAAACCATGGTTTAGCATGGCATCTTCACTAGTATTAACCTAAAAAATATTGACGTAAGAGATCTTTCCTTAACCAGTGTTTGGGACAACTTTTGAAATACAGCAGCCATTTTGTGATATGCCATGCTTGCTCGGCAGCCATTTTGTGACTGGTGCTCAGGGCACTTTCTTAAAATTCCCAGATGTACCCATTCACCCAAAAAGGTTGGTGATCCCTGTTCTAAATTATGATTCAAGTATGCCAAGAAAGGAAAAAAGATTTTGAATCAGAAGACATGGAGCCAGTGAATCTGAACCCCCACCAATCTCTTAACCATGGTGAGAGATTACTAGCGTTCCATTGGCACCTGACTTGCCCCCTCCTGTCTCAAGCAATTTATTCTCACCCTTCTAGACCTGTGAATAATATATAATAATTGCACATCTAAAGACAGACAGCACATCTAAAGTTCATGAGACCTGAAATGTGGACCTACCATATTTTTCCGTGTGTAAGACTAGTTTTTTAAAAAAACCAAAAAAATAGGTTTAAAATTGGGGCTCACCTTATACACGGGTAGTGCTGAGGGGTGTTTTCTTAATTTGGAGTCCCTCAAAATAGGGGGCGTCTTATACATGGAAAAATACAGTACAGTGGTACCTTGACTTACAGATGCTTCAGGTTACAGACGCTTCAGGTTACAGACTCCGCTAACCCAGAAATAGTACCTTGGGTTAAGAACTTTGCTTCAGGATGAGAACAGAAATCGTGCTCCGGTGGTGCGGCAGCAGCAGGAGGCCCCATTAGCTAAAGTGGTGTTTCAGGTTAAGAACAGTTTCAGGTTAAGAACGGACCTCTAGAATGAATTAAGTTCTTAACCTGAGGTACCACTGTAAACCCTATCTTTCTCTGTCACCAGCAGTAGCTGAAACTAAAATTGAATACTTGAACATTCCAGATCGACACCCAGGGAAGCATCATAATACTGCAAGTGAAGCTTGGGCCAACCTCTCCGTGGCATGACAAATCCTCTCATGTAAATGTGGTCTGTGCTGTTCACATGTGGGAAATGGGCCAAATGGACATGTGGTCACGTGTGGGTGCTTCTTGTCTCTATCTCTCACAGTTGCTTTTCTTCAATCCAAGTTCACTTCAGCTGAAAGTCCAATTGAAAAGAAACTGCCTAGAGGGATAGACTTCCATGTGAAAGGCATTGTATCAGGATGTGGCTTGCCAGTGCACCCCCATTGCCCCTTTAAATTGTTGCAATGGGCCTACAAGAGGCAGAAGCACAGGAGAAGGCAGGCAAGAGGAAAGTCCCCTCTTGGGCTACAGTTTTCCCCATCCCAGACCT